TGAAACACTGATTGTGTGTACTGGGGCATGACATTCTCTCAGAAAGGATTTGGTTTTAAAGTACTTACATGAACAGATTGTGTGCTCTTCTCTAAAACTGTATCGGACTGTCTCCACACTTGCGACTCTCTTGTCTTCTCATTCATGAACCAACGTTGCCTAAATCTCATGAACGCTGACACTGTTTCTACCTGAATTGTCCCTAATGGCCACAGTATTTTTTTTCCAATAAATTTTAAATGTTGTTATTACTGGTTACTTAGCATCTAAATTGTGCCAGACTGGTAGGAATTCTCCTCAAGTGTTTTAGCAGTAACTATTTGAAGAGTAGTTTTGCATTTACCAGTGTAGAAATGCAGGAAAAGACTTAAGAACCAGCAGGCCATTCACCTCCTTTTAAGTCTTGGTTTCAATTACCGGTGAATATTCCACACCAACTTCTAATTTCCTTAGGCCCCATATGCAAAGCATGAAGCAGACTGACGGGCCCATTCAGTGAGCGTTCAATGCCAAGAACTAAAGAGCCAGAGGTGGGAAAAGCAAATTTTCTCTAACCATGTGGAAGCGTCTCTAAAGAATTGTGAGGAAAAAAAATCTCAGTGTAGGGGAGAGGGGTCTTGTAACAAGACATTACCATGAGGAAAGAGCGACAAGGAGGAAGTACTGGGGACTGAGGGCTGGCACACACTGGGGAAAGCTGTAGCAGAGGGACCGGATCTAAAGAAGGAAAAAAGACGGAACAGTGATGCGCTCTCTATTGCTCATGCTCAGGTTCACAGGCATGCTTCCTGGCTCAGCAGGCTGCCCAGGCTTCTACTGCTTATCGCCCAAGACCTACAGGGTTTAACTCTCTGATACAGAGAGAAATCTTTGGATTTCTGATTTCACAGTGTTCAGATATGCCCTTAATAGATAAAATCAGGGGGCTTAAATGTATCTTCTCAGAAGCCATGTACAGTTCCAAATTATATAACGCTATTTTTTCATAGCTTTGCTCTAAAGTTTTAATATTCAACTTTCAATTAATACCTGCTATGTCTTACAAGTGGCTGCTGTTCAAGGCTTTTTAAAAATATGAATATATACATACATACATACATTTCTATATACATATAGTAAAAGCAGGTAAGCCTAAGATGTCTGAAATATATTCCTATCTAATTTAGACACCTTAAAACTTGTCATTGCTTTCCCAGGAGAATAATATTAGCCATATGTAGGGAATTACATATTGTAAGTAATTATTTTATCTGCAATAGTTTTTATTATGAGTGGAACTGTAAGTTTCTGTATATACCACTGAATTTTCACTTAATGAATTGAATTTAGATTTACTTGATTTGTATTACTTAATGAGATCCTTCACTTTTTTGCCTCAGAAGTTGGTCAAGGCCAAAGGAGGTCTCTGGGCAATGTATTATCCAGTACTCATTGTCTACATAATAATTCCTGCAATTATTTCTAATTTTTAAAACTTGGATATTTACTATTGATGTAGTAACTATTTTTGTCTCGGTCACTAGTACAAGACTTCTTGTAATGGAAATCCTAGCCTAAGACAATGTCATATCACAAAGGAATCTCCATTCTTAATGTTGTGGGGTTGGTTCTATATTATAGGCACGGCCTTCAATATTTGAGATTATGGAATATAGTAAACAAATATATTGGAAGTTTATTTTCATCCATCTGACATGCCTGAAACTTCTGTTGAAAATACAAAGGAGAACCCTCTTGGATTATTTATCTTCATGGGGCAATTGCCTTCTTGTTAAGTCTCTCTTCCCCAAGCCTTAAAGCGATCTTAGGCTTCTAGGTAGGAACAGTTACCTCTGCAGACCTGAGCGGCTGCAGCCTGTTCCTATGCCTGCACCATTCAGTTTGCTGGAAGAGAAAGAAGGGCTTCTCCGACTCACTTTCCTCAGTATTCTGTGTGGACCATGCTTCCCATGTTCCTCCATTTTTTGTCTTTTGTCTGCCTTTTATTTTCTGCCATTTTTTTTCTTCTTAGGACATACCCCACCCCCCTCTGTTTCTATGGAAACTCAATCTTAGGATTTTTGGAATTCCTGTTCTATTTCACTGTTATTCACAGGGCTGTAGGCCAAATTTCTGTGGCAAAGCCTTTCCCCCCTTTTAATCTTTAGCCAGGACCACTTTCATGCCTCCAGCTTTAGATGTTATCCGTTCCTGGCACCTCTACTGCTGTGTCTCACACTGGTGCAATCTCACCTTAAGGTGACCCTGTTTTTCTTCCCAGTTCCTGGCTTGTTCTCCAGAAGAGTCCTGCAGACTGTTCAAAGGCCCATGTCAGAAACCTGGCGGCCACTGTAGATGCATATCTGGACTTCTCATGCTAAATCCATCATGATCTTTCTCCAAAACAGAGCCCCAGCCCTGGCTTTTCTAACTGTTCCCCCGAATAGTGTAAGGACTGTCAACTAGGTGACTTCAGTAGCCTATGGGTGTTCACGTTTGAGTTCTGTTAAGAAGCGACCAGCCTGACCTCTTAAATATTCCAAAACTCATTCTACATTTGACATAAAACCTTGCAGCCACATAACATTTGACATAGGGAATTCACACTTCCTCTTTATCTCTCTGAGATGCTATGTGATCTGACCCCAGGTGCCTCCTCTGACCTAGTGTCATTGGTCCTGAATAACAATGGTAAATGCTTCTTCAAACCCTTGAACATCTCTCCACACACTAAATCAATGAGACCTCCACATATCTACTGCTCTCCTGGAATGTTCTTTTCCACATTCTTTCACACTTCTCTGAAATATGTGCCCCCTCAGAAATTTTGTTTTTCAAGAGAATTTCTCCCACTGTTCTCTTTCCAAAATGGAAACTCTCCTCCAAGTGTGGTGTTCTAGATCATCATAGACAGTGCTTCATAGAGCTAAACACAGTTTATAATGGTATACTGAAAGGTAGTGTAGGGTGACCAAAGGCACAGTTAGCTTGAGTCCAACTCTCACCGTTTGCTAGTCACGTGTCTAGGGACAGATTATTTTAGAAATAGATTTTTTTTCACACAATATATTCTGACTAAAAATCCCCCCAACTCCTAATTCCTCCCCATATCTCGTCTCATCAAGTTCTACACTCTTTCTGTTTCTCATTAGAAAACGAACTAGCACCTACTGAATAATAATATGGAAAAAATACTTAGGATAAAAACAAACGAATCGAAAGAGGACAAAAGGAACAGAAGAAAGAGGGTCAAAGAAAAAGCACACACAAAAAATATAGATACAGAACACATGGGAATCCTATCCATACTCAAAAGCTATAATGTATACTCAAAGGACCTGTAAGGTAAAATAAAATAGTAGTAAATAAATAATAAACTCACTGGTACAATATTAAGAGACAAAGAACTTCCAAAGATGCCCATCAGTTCATTGTATGTTGGACATATTTTTTAAGGTATGTGGCTAGGGGTAACCTTAGTTTGTTTCTCTAGTGAGAGTCCCTTGGAGAAACCTTAATTTTTTTTATTTGCAAGTACTTCTCACTTCAGCTCTATGACTCCACCTTGTGCAGACACATGCAGGCGTATGCATATGGCTGCAGTCTCTGTGAATTTGTATGTGTGATGATGGTGCTGTGTTTAGAGGGCCATGTTCTCTTGGTGCTCTCCATCCCCTCTGGATCTTACACTCTTTCTGCCTCCACTTCTGCAGTGTTGCCTGAGGCCTGAAGAAAGGGATGATGGAGACATCCCAGTTATGGCTGAGTGTTCCTAGGGCTCTCACTCTGTACATTTTAGGGAGGAGTTAGTTAGCCTCTGTGTGTGAGTGTCCTTGGCAATCACATTATGACAATGTGAATGCCTGTGTTGTAGGAAATTTGCAATGAGAAAGTGATTATTATTTTAGTTAGTGGTAAATACTCCATAAGTATTTGTTTACAAATATGTGGTGTACGTGTGTGTTTGTATGTGTGAAATTTGCTTTATGTCTGAATGCATGGTTATGTGTTGTGATTCCTGGTTGCTACTAAATGTTTATTTGACAGATGAATATTGCACTGCATCTTATAATTATGTCTAGCAGAAGAACATCATGCTCTATTTATATGATATGTAATCATTTATAATGTAAGCATTCGAATTATTGAATTATGTTTCTGATTTACAATTATCCTTCAGCAATTTGTCTATCTGCCCCCTTTCTTCTCTCAAGACCATTCATTATTTTCATTTTACACATCCCTGGACCTCAGTGTCAAGGAATCCTCCTCAAATTACAGATTTAGTGAACAATGGGACAGTTCTTTTCATTTCAGAATCCGTTGTTCTGAGGCCTTCTGTGTTCTCATCGTCTAGAAACACCAAGTGCAGTGTGTGAACACTTTCCCTGGAGTTAGAGAACTTCCCTGTTGATAATGTTGATACTTTGTTCTAGGCGAGCGTCACTGGACTTGGTGCTTGTCCGTTTATCACCCATCCCTACTTATAATGGTCTGTTTGTACAGCATATTGCCTCGGTGATTCTCCAGCATTCTTGCTGTGTGCTCCCTGAGGAGTTATGTTCCTAAAAGGCTTCCATTGCTTTCGGTTTTCTTAGAAGTCTCCCTGTGTTTAGTTCCCAAAGAAATACTACTTAATTACAGAATAGCATCTGCCGTATCATCCTTATATCCTTATTCTAAGGACTCCTTTCTGGTGAGTAACAGTTAAAAATTTCTCCTTTCCATCTGTGTCCCAAGCAGGCAGGCCACTTCTGGGATCTTAATATATGAAAATTGAAAGGTTCCCCACCAAAATCAAATCCCTAATTTAAAAACAGGGTTTAGGAAGGCAAGTACTCAAGGTTATAGTAAGTGTAAACTGCCACTCGGTCCTTAGCACAATTTGTTACTTGGACTTTTTTCTTTTCTTTTCAAAGGAACACAGTACAATGAGCTTGAGATGCCTGCAAATGAGATTTGATGAAATTGTGCAGTTGGCTTCCATGTCCATTTATACACTCTCTGTTTACTCTTTGCAGTTTAACAGCAATGCTCAGGACGTAAGCTGTTTTCAGCACCTGGTCCAGGCGAATGTGAGAAACAAGAAGGTGTTGAAAGATGCTGTAAATAACATCACAGCCAAAGGGATAACAGATTATAAGAAGGGCTTTAGCTTTGCGTTTGAGCAGCTGCTTAATGTAAGTGTCAGTGAGAAGCCATTTTATTTTGTTTTTAGACATTCTGGTAAAAGTCACTGATCACCATTGAAATTTGCAGACAGGGTATGTTCAGAGATTAGAGCCATGGTTGAAGGTAACAGATGTGTTAGTCAATACTTGGGTTTCCATTGATTCGTTAGAAACTTTTACTGTCAGTGTCCTTATGGGCTTGTCAATGTGCTGAGATAATATGAAGTAGTATCTTGTCACCAATGTGGGGAAGGTCTTCTTTAATTTCTGGACCAAAAGATGGACTTTATCATCCTTCCAAAATGAGAGTGTGGGCCTTCTGTAGGCTATAGCACTACCAAGGTATCATTGATAATTTAAAAAATATAATTGCTCATTTAAAGGCCAAGACTGATGATCTCAATTACAGGAGGTTCTCAAGGACTTTGGAAGAATGCCTACTGGAATTGCACTAAATTGCACAGTGACATTGATGACATTGATAGAAGAACATAGTGTATATTTTCTCAGTAACTTTATAATGATTTCATAGTGAAAGGATAGTAGTTTGAAGACTAATTTAAATGAACTCTATGACAAAAATTAACTTATTATTCTGCTTTATGAGGTCTTTAGAAAAATTTAAATTATGTGGTAGTCTCCCATTATAAATCCTTCAGATGAAGCAGTAGGCTCCCATTTTACTTTTAGATAGCAGTACGCTACAAAGTTGACATTTTCAAAGAAGCTGAGCATTCAGAAGTTAGTGCAATCCATTTTTCTCATCATTTAAGCAAACACATTCCATAATAGTAGAAAAGCTAAGATTGTAACCTGATGCCTTCAACAAGTCCAACTTGATAAATTAAAGTGTTCATCTTAATGGCCCTCTAATGCTAATTCATTATTTTATGCTCAGTTCTTTGAAAGACCTTAAAGGTTAAGAGGATTTATAGCCAGAATTGAATCTTGCAGGATTAGAATCTGTGTGGCAGGTCAGGAGAGGACAAAGAGGAGAAAAGATGTTCAGGGAGTAGGTTGCAGGCACTTATGGAGCCTGAGGAGCACTGTGTGAGAAACTCTGCATGAGTCTGCCATCCCAAAATATAAGGCAAAAGTAATGGGGTGACCATGGAGCGAAGAAGAGGAGTATCTGGAAAAGGATTGAAAGGTTAATGTGAAAAGTGTGAATTATTTCAAGTGAATGTTATTTGTTTGCTTCTGCTATATAATTAGGTATGTAAAAGAAACATTTGCTCATACAAAACCCAACTACTGCTCAGTCACTGGGGAATTATGTACTTGGTGCTGTCTAAATACCACATTATCTTACTTTTGTGGGGCTTGTGTTGCTTTAAGAAAAACTAACATTGGGCTGGAGAGATGGCTCAGAGGTTAATAGTATTGAATGCTCTCCCAGAAGTCCTGAGTTCAATTCCCAGCAACCATGCCGTGACTCACAGCCATCCATAATAAGATCTGGTGCCCTCTTCTGGCATGTATGCATACATACAGAGTACTGAATAATAAATACACAAACAAATAAGTAAATCTTAAAAAAGAAAAAAAGGAACATTAACACCAAACCAACAAAATGCTGATTGTATACAAATTAAATTATTATGAAGAAAATATAATCTGGACTCTATTACAGTTTAAAACACAATGGTCCAGGAAAGTGTCCATTACAGTGGCATTTGATGGCAGGTTTGAAAGGTATTTGGCTATCTATGTATCAAGAGCTAAGGCTGGCCTAATCCACAAACCTGATATTAGAACATACTACTGAGAAGACATTTTGTTTGTAGGGTGTCATATGAGCTTGCTTTTTTCATATTGGTTTTCTTCTCCTAATTTTCATTATGGATAATTGGCATGTCTATTTTGAACAGTATAATGTTTCCAGAGCGAATTGCAACAAGATCATCATGTTATTCACAGATGGAGGAGAAGAGAGAGCCCAGGAGATATTTGCCAAATACAACAAAGACAAAAAAGTGAGTGTTGTTTTATAGTATTTTAATTTTAACATGTAGACGATTTTTATAAAAGTAGTCTGTAATCATGGTGAGGGAATTTTTTTTCTCCAAAATGTTAATTGCAGTTATAAAATTAATATGTTAATGGTAAAACAAAACTTTTTTTTTTCTTCAGGAAACCGAGAGCACCAAGCTACAAATACATTAGTCAGATATTGTAGATTTATGGGTTCCATTGGATTCTTAAATCAACAGAAGAGAGAAATGGGAAGAGTATGGGAAAACAAAACAGTTTCAACCTTTCTTGGATTATGCCTTCTAATCATTGAAATTGATAAAAAGGCTCAATATTCTAAATATACCAAGAAATTTCTACAGTGATGTTTTATATAGATGCATAAACCATTCACAAGAGTAAACAGATACAGCCTGCTTGAAAATGAACTCAATGGAAATCTTACGATGAATTACTTGATTGGTACAATAATTTAAAGAATGCTATCCCAAACACCATGGACAGTAGGAGTATTTTACAATTAGAGTATGTTCATTTCTTGATCTGTGGTAGTGAGGCAGGGTTGTAGTATGGTTACAGGTTCATGCTTTAGAGTGTTATTATATTACTAAAACCTATTAAGATTGTAACTGCCCCATCAAGGCATCTTACCAAATATTTACATGTATTTTCTTACTGACACCCCACATTTATAAAAGACACTAATTCCCAATCTATTTTTCTAAAATGGTAAAGGAACATCTTAAAAGTCATTTGGGGGGGGGAGATACAATGACTTTCTTATGCTTAAGAAAATTATACACTTATCCTAATGAAGACTATATCCTTCATCAACCTCCAGATAGCTGTGACTACAGCTGTTTTTTGTTCTCTTTTTGATAGACAATTTTACTGTTTGAGAAGATTTGGCTCAGCAGTAGCTCCAATTAGACTGTTTTATAGCTATTTGAGTCATTTAGGTCAATATTTTGCATATGCTAGAGAGGAAAACTACAGACAATCGGTTGCTTGTAGAGGGAGAATCAGTCCACTCTAGGTATGAACCCCAGAGAGGTTAACCAATCCCAAGAGGACAACCCTAAACATATATGAGCAAGATTAAATTATTTCATCTGGTTCTATTTATAAACATAGATATATGTCTCTCACTTTGTGTGTGTGTGTGTGTGTGTAAATTATAATTAAAGTATAAAAACCAATGAATTTTAGAAGAAATGGGAATAACACAATAAGAATAGGAGGGAGGAGGGTGATGAATGATGTAATATGACATTCACAAAAAATACATTTAAAGAAGCCATTTCTTTGTTGATTGCAGTTTTACTCAAAACATAGGCTATAGGGACAAGTCAAGCTACCTTCTGGCAAATAGACTAATAAACCATGCCACATACATGCTAGGAAATTCTAGTTAGCCTCAACCAAAGGGAATTCTGTACTATTGTCAAACCTTGATATCATGCTTAGTGAAATAGACTATTCACATACGCACATGCAAATAAGTGAGTAATATATGTTTACACATACATAAGGAATCTGTAGCAAGTTCACAGTCCATGAAGTTGCCAGGGAAGGGAGAGAGAGGAATGGATAATTATCTCATTTTAAGTCTGTGAACACTAAAGTTTTGCGAAACACGTTGCTGCATTGCAGCATTATAACTGTAAAAACAAAGAAAATACTTTGCTTTTGAGTTAGATACAGTTTTATTATTTATTTTATTTTTAAAGAGCATAATATAATTACTCTTTTCCCCTTCTGTTTCCTGAGGCAATATTGTGAAAGAGAGGATATAAAGGTTTTAAGAGCAAAAAGTTGAGGGAGATTTCTGGAGATAGGTGTGTCTTAGTAATGGCAAAAGCTACACTTCTAAAGTCTCACCAACATGGCCACTCAAACAAGAGCTGAAAGTACATCTTCTTAAAAGCTAATTGAGGGTATACCTCAAACAGTGTGGTTTTTTTTACCACAATAATGCAAAAAAATTAAATATGTAAATATTATAATGTCTTAAAAATTTGTGATCTTTTAAAAAACATACCTGTACTTGTACTTTTTCCTCCCATCCTCTTGTGGTATTAACATGATCAATGAATGCTTCATTTTCATTCACTTTCCATCTAGATGACACAAAAGTCATTCACAACAGCCCTGGTAGGTGTGATGGGATGTCTGGACATCTGATGAATGAGTCTGTGCATACACGGCACAGTTTAATGAAGCCAAGGCTGTGAGAATTAGAACAAAATGTTTGGGTTCTTTTTATGGAATGTCATACTCTTGGGAATCAATCTACTTGATTACAGATAGGCAGAGATTTAAAACCAAATCCATGTTAATCTCCCGGAGCAGCTGTTCCAAATTAAAATGCATTCACTCTCTAATCTTTACCTGTAGCAGTGACATTCCTTTGGGCTCACCCATGTGTATGAGACCTCCTTAAAAATGGTGCCAAAACTAAAATGAGCTCTACCAACGAGAGCAACCTAGTGAGTGAAGGAGAGTAAAGCCAGACACACAGCTGAGAGATAATTCCCAGGACAAGAAAATCAAACATATTTGCTTTTCTCTAAGATAGCAATAATTGTTTGATTGGCAATGCACACTAAGACTACCTCTCCAGGTAGAAAATAATTCTCTTGTGGTTTACTTAATTTTTTTTAAAAAAGACATTCAAAATTAATATAGTGAACATTTCAAATTATCTAAAAAATTAAAACAGAATTGGGAAATCACTTTTAAACTAAGGGATACTCAGCTAATGTAAAAGTTGACAATATTCATTGTTGTAATTTGTTTTTAATAATTTACTTTTAAGTATCTTTCTTATATTGTCTTTGCATCTAAGTAGAAAGGCATTCTCTTCTGTCTGTATAAGTCCAAAGCAAGTCACAAGTATCTGAATGTATATTTGGGTTTTATAGTTATTTTTTTAACTGACACTAGGAAAAGAATTCACAGGAAATAATTCATGGCATTTTCTACTTTTTTGCACCATCCTTTTCCATCAGGTGAAATTATAGCCTTTTTAAGGAATGTTCTGACAGAAGTAATTAAGGCTGTTTAGCTTATAAAATATTGAATGTCACTTACCAATTACATCATTTCAAAAATCCTTTATTTTGGATAATTTTGCACTTTCAACTCGTCCTAAGAGTTAAGCATTGGAATAAGAACCACATACCTTTGTTTATAAATCTCAACATGGTTTATGGTAGAGTCAGGATACAGTTGAGACAATGAGGTACTGGACTGTCCTATGCAGAAATTATCACTTTAAATGGAATGTTTTGTGCAAAGTGTGTGTTTGGGTATGAGTGTGTATTTTTGTCTCTGAAATCATTTGTTTCTCATTTATTTTTCATTGACAGCTATTTTCTACAGTAATAAAATACTTACCAGGTACATTTTGTTTAGATTTGAGGAATATCACCTTCATGCACTTTAGATTTTAATTTAATATATAAGTAAATCTCATGCCAAATAAAATCATTGCCTTAAGTACCAAGTATATATTATAACATATAAACTTTAGATACATAAAGTTCACTTCAACTTTGTTTTAGGTATAATTATATCCTGTCAACCTGGAATCTTCCATTGTTCAGACATTGCTAGAAGGGCCTATGGTTTTTGTTACTGTTTCCATGGCTGCCCTCTGTTTTGAGTAAAACTCTGCTTCATAAATACTTCCTCAGAAGTATCTCTGCCAAGCCTCTCTCAAGTGGTCCTTTCACCTGAACCAGTTGAAAACTTATATCCTCATATGTTACCTGGAGCCTTTATTTTCTTCTAGAAGCTTTGTGAAATAGGGTGATATAAAATATCAAATTATCTTACTAAGCCTATTAAGAAATTTATAGCTAATTACATAGTGCTGACTTATAGTAGCTTCTCAGTTTTTATGAGTATGATTATATATACTGAATATACTTCTAAAATATAGTAACATCACATATATCAGAAAACATTCAGCAGACTTATAATTAATAAGTGGTTACTGTTCAAATAATATTCCATTTTTTTCATTGGCATTTTTAGTAAAAATCCTGTTATACTCATTAATGTGTCTTCCTTTGAAGGTAGGGAAGGTCATATGATTGGTCCTGATATTGTTTTTTACTCTCATCTGTCCAATATACAAGGTTCCTTTAAAAATCTCATCATCAATGCTCATAAAGCACTTTTTACTATCCAGGAAGAATTAGTTATATACAGTGTCAAGATGATCTGAGTCACTCTTACATTCTGAAGTCAGATGGCGATAGTCTTCACAGGATAACAGATTGTTGGAAATCGATTATTGCTGTAGTTTGGTCCTACATTGTAAAGCACAGTATATGTGTATTGACAAAGGGTGTTGCAGGGTATTCAATCACACTGTGAACCCTGAGTCTGCATTTTCATTCACTAAATAGAATCAACCTTAGGTTGACAGAAAGTAGTCATAGAGAGTCGGAATGAGTCTGGAAGATGGATAGTGAGATGCATAGGAAGTCATAGGGAGGGACTTTGAGGGTGATAGTCATTTTTAGTTTGTCAGATGCTTTCTTTCTGAGACTCCTCAACCTCTGTGAGATAACAGGTTTTCACTCCAGCCTCTGATTCCAAGTCATAGAGATGAATAGAATGATAGAGATTTAGTTAAAAACTACATTTGTTGGCAGTAGGAGGAGGTGCTTGCTGCCAGTAACTACGGAGCTGCAATTATTGGAAAAACAACCAAAGTGGGGGATTGGGAAGTCTTCCTTCTAATCCAATAGCATGAGTGTGAGTCATCACACTGGCCAACAAGGCTCCAGTATAACCCTAACATAGGAGCTATGCTGTGCATGCATTTGCAGCATACATTAGAGAAATCTTAACCTGTTTGTTTAAGATGGTGGGCGTGAATCCTATATGCTGTTTTTCTGGTTTACCACTTGCTTTATGTTATTTACTTGAGCAGATTCAAACAACATTGATTAAATGCTTCTTCTGTCAGACCTTTAGAACCAAAATG